GCCATGGCAACACGGCAGGATGAAATAGGGGGTCCCAGTGGGGCAGGCAGTGAGGCCCAGAGGGGTGAACTGTGGTGTCTGGGCAGGAAGGATGGCAGGACCCCAGAGGGGTGAGCTGTGGGACCCCACTGGAGTGAGCCATTGGGCCCTGATGTGGTGAGCCATGGTCCCCATTGGAGAGATCTATGGGGCACCATGTGGGGTGGGCCCCTTGGTGGCGGGCGGTGCTGTGGGGCAGGAAGTGGTGTGGGTGCGGGCCCTGCGCAGTGGGCTGTGCACGGAGGCTGTTTGCACGCGCCCCACAGCTCGCCCGCCATGGCGGTGCCCAGCGCCTTCCTCGCACCAGTTTTCCTCCTCCTCTGTGGGCTGGGGCCCTACCTTGCTGCTGCCCACAGCCCCCCAGGTAAGGGGGCACATGGGCCCCAGGGACATGGGACACGGGAGGCCACAGTGCCCCATGGGTGGTGGCGCTGGGGGATGTCGCTCCCTAGTGATGGCGGGCAAGGAGGACAGGATGTAGGGCTGCAGGGACTGGTGAGCTGTTGGGGCATGCACCAGAGACCCCACAACCCCCTGATGTGCCCTGTACCCCCAGCACCTACATGGCTCCTTGCAGTGGGGCTGCTGGGAGAGCCAGGCTGTGCCAGGGAGCCCCATTGGGTGTCCTTGCTCCCACCCTGGTGCTGGAGCATAGCTGGCGCCACCAGCCCTATGGCAGAATCCACTTCCTGGGTGGCTGTCAGTAAAACACCAGCTTTTCATGGAATGCAGCCCGTCTGTATCCCTGGACTTCCTGGGCTTCTAGTAAGGTGCCCTCCATCTCCACATGCGGAAACAGCCAGAGCACAGTGCCTGTTTGCTCTGTCGAATTACATTACAACCCAGGAAAGCTCGGCTCTGGCTCTCTTCTGCCCCCGCAGTGCTGGCTGATGGGTTTGAACCTCGGAAGGGACCAGGTGTCCCGTTGCCTGATTTTTAGGGAAGAAAATTCCATTTTCTGGGAGCCTCCAGGGCAGCTCTCAGCCACGAGCAGCTGGTATGGCACTTGCAAGGGCTCTGTAAGGTGCCTCAGTCCATCAAAGGAGCTCGTCCCACAGTGAGCCGTTCCCACAGCCACCAGAGTGGACTTCTGTGTGATAACTGAAGTGGGGACCAGCACTGGTCCGGTGGCCCTGCAGCCCCCAGGCAGCCCAGGATGTGGCCTCCAGCTGCGTGGGCAGGACTGTTTCTGGCACAGCATGGCGGAAGGAGGGGGCAGGGGAGCCGGCGTGGGCACCTGGAGCGACTGCTCAGCTTCCTGGGGCTCAGTGGTGTTTCCTGCAGAGATCAAACCACCAGGGCTTGGCCCCTGGCACTGTGGTGGAGGGGCTGTGGTGGGAAGAACAGCCCAGCATAGCCACCATCTCTCAGACACAGGGACACATGGGCACCTGCAAGCACCCAAAAGGGTAACAGTGAGATGAATTTACCCAGGATGGAGAGATCAGGCACAAATCCGGGAAAATTCACAATTTTCTCATGGGACAAGCAAAAAGGGTTGGGGGGTGTGTGTGTGTGTGTGTGTGTGTTCTATCCTGTGTTACAATGCCAGGGACTGCAAACAGTGGCCATGGGGTGACTAACAGGAGTGGATGGAGGAATCAGGGTGAAACAGCACGTCTGGAGCAAGAGGAGAGGATGGCACGGATGCAGGAGGGACAGCTGCTTGGCCAGCAGTTCTTTGGAGGAAGATGTGGGGCTGCGGCAGCCCAGGCATCACTGGCACAGCATGTGTGAGCGGGGTGGTGGGAACCCAACATTTCAGGGAGGCTGCATTGCAGCTCTGCCGGGAGGAGCTGGGCACACAGAGGAAGGCTGACAGGGATGTACGGAGACCCCTGGGAGGTGCTGTGTTTCACCAGTGCATCCCTGGGGCCTTGCACAGCTGCCCATCAGCACAGTGCCCAGCGGTGTCTGTCCCTTGTAGGGGTGGAGTGTGTCCTCTTCAACGAGGAGTACATGACCTGCATGTGGGGGAGTAGAGAGATGCTCACGACCAACTACTCCCTCTACTACTGGTAGGTGCCCCTGCCCCACACCCAGCCCCACAGCAGGGTGTCCATCCATGGGCCCCTGCATGACGGGCTACTGCCAACATTGCTGGTCCCAGCACCAGCCTGCTGCTCTTCCCTGAGCCCATGGTGGAGGGATGCTCTATCTCTTGGGCAAGCAGGACGGGATGTTACATGGGAGAGGGGTCCTGGGGAGGGCTGTGGCATGCTGCATTACCAGGGCATGGAGCCCTGGTAACCTGCTGCGGCACAGGTATGAGAACAAGCCCCCCGTGGTGGAGTGCAAGCACTACCTGCAGGACCGGGGCATCAGCATCGGCTGCCGCTTCCACCAGAGTGAGATCATCCAGTTCCAGGCTTTCCATGTTCTCGTCAATGCCAGCCTTGGTGGCAGGACCCTGGAGATCCGCAGTGAGCACATGGAACTGCAGGACCTGGGTATGGAATGGTGGGGGGCACCCACTGTCCTCTGTGGGATTGCTGCAAGACAGGAGTGGGGCTGTGGGTCCCCAGGGCTGTCACATCATGTCCCAGCTGGTGGCAGGGCCACCAGGGCATAAGGACGGCACTCACCAGGCATCACCTGTGCCTTGCAGTGAAACCGGACGCGCCTGTCAACCTGACCATCCGCAACATGAGCAACAACCAGCTGCAGCTGACCTGGACCTCCCCGTACCCCAAAGCCCATTGCCTGGAGCATGCTGTCAAGTACAAGAGCAACAAGGACACCAGCTGGACGGTGAGAGCCCCCCCAGACGCAGCACCCCTGCAGTTGTGCCTGGGGACAAGCCATGCACCAGCCTCCATGGCAGTGCTGGCCCTCACTGCATGGCCCATGTCTCTGAGCAGGTGCACCCGGTGAAAGGAGACGTCTTCTCCTTCCCCAGCGTAGATTATGAGAAGTACTACACCTTCTATGTGCGCAGCAAGATCAACATCTACTGTGGCAGCACCCAGCTCTGGAGTGAGTGGAGTGTCCCCGTGGTCTGGGGCAGCAACTCTACCAGCAAGGGTAGGTCACGGGGGCTGTGGTGGGACAGAATAGGTGGGGCATGGTGGCGCTCAGCAGGTGAGGGATGGCCAAGGAAGTAGAAAACTTGCCAAGGCAGCAGCTGTAGGAGTGAGACCTGTCTGGGCACCTGGGGCGTAGGCAGCAGCTGCGGCCCCTGTGTCCTTTGCACTTCTGGAAGCCAAACACCCCCTGCCAGTGGTACCTGCTGACTTTTGCCAGAGGTTTCTTAGCCCTGGACAGCTGCTCTGGCACAGCCAGTCCAGGACAGGGTCATCAGCCAGTTGTGGTGACAGCGTGGCAGGACTTGGGGATGGGCCCCTTCTCTATCCTCTGCTCCCGGCTTGAGCCCTACCACAGATGATGCTGAGCTCCCATGGCCACCCTTGAAAAGCCAACGGCATGCCCACCCCACTGCCCGTGGCAGTGCACCAGCCGGGGGTCTGTGTCACCCTGGCTCTTTCCAGGCGCAGTGGAGGAGCAGCCGCACTGGTTCTGGATCCACACAGTCTTGATACCCATTGCCTCCTGCCTGCTCTTACTGGTCCTCATCATCCTGCTAGTGCGCATGGAAAGGTGAACGTGGGGGGCTAGTGGGGGGCAGCAGCATTGGGGCCTTTCCCCTCTGACACATCTTCCCCACACAGGGTGTGGGTCCTCCTCATGCCCCGAATCCCCAACCCCAGCAAGAATTTTGATGAGCTCTTCATCACCCACAAGGGCAACTTCCAGGTAAGGTGGCTGCAAGCAGCCCTGCCCCAGGCTCACCTCCACCCCATGGGGTTGGGGCTGAGCTGGGTGGTGTCTCCTCTCACCTTGTTCTGCTCCCCGGAGGAATGGGCTGGAGTCCCCAAAGATGTCATGGAGAGCTTCAAGCCCAACTACAGCGAGAACATCTGCTACGTGAGTGAGCTGCCCCCCAAGGAGAGCTACGAGCCCCTCAGGGAGGGCAGCAACCATCCACTGTCACTGATGTCCAGGGCCCCAGCTGCCCCCCGCAAGCCCAGCCCCTACAAGAACAGCTTCGTGGGAGTGTGATGCACTGCTGCACCCCTGCGCCCTGCATGCTCCGCACGCTCCGCACCCCCGCTGCCTGAAACCTTGCCGCCCCATGGGCCTCGTTCCCCACTCCCACCCTGCCTCTGCCAAATGTCTGAGACCCCCAGCCCTGCTCCCTGCCACGGCAACATAGTGGCTGTACTGCACTGCAGGGTGCTATGTGAGTGCAGTGTGCTGGGTGCACTGGATGGTGCACTGGGTGCAGTGCTCAGTGCGCTGGGTGCACCACGTGGTGCAATGGGTGCACTGGGCAGTGCACGGGGTGAAGTGTGTAGCAGTCTGGGTGCACTATTTGTTGCACTGGGTGCTCTGTGTGATGCATTGGGTGCACCGGGTGCTGCTCTGGGTGCATTGCAGCACACTGGGTGCAATGCACTGTGTGCTCAGCAACTGCCCTGTCCTTGGGGGCATCCGGGAGGGCAGGGTGACATCCCACCACGAGCCCTGCTGTGTGCAGGATCCCTCATGGGGTTGCCATGGTGGAACAGAGCCATGGGAGGACTGCTGGGCTTTCACATTGCTATCCTGTGAGTCCCTGCACTGGGCGCATTGGAGCTGGTGGGGGCTTGCCAAGACCCCTCCCTGTTCTGAGGTGCCCGCAAGCACCCAGGGACGTGTCCAGGTGAGGGGGCAGCCACTAGCTGATGCCAAGCCCAGCTGTAGCCAAGCAGGGAGGAGCCACTGGCTGACGGAACGGGGAGCCCAGGGCTGAGGAGCACCAAGGGCCAGAGGGACCAAGCCACTGTGCCACCCCTGGCCCTGAGGGCTGCTGCCCTGGGGACACCAGGTGAGCCTGGCTGTCCCCCTGGGGCCTCACCGCTCCTTTGCCTGTGCCCAGGGTTTACTACTGCAATAAAGCTCTGCTACTGTGTGTGCGGGGTGGAGTTTGGAGTGCCTGGGAGGTGTCCAGGCAAGTGGAGCCCCTGATCCCTGGGGGTCCTGGCAGTGCACAGGGCAGTGGGGCACAGTGGGCAGGAGTGACCGCAGGGCCATCCTACAGGGACTGAGGAAGAGCACTCATGCTGGTCCTTCATGTTCCTCTTGGAGCACCCCAGCCCGGTGCTGACAGGTGGGTGAGCAGATGGGGATGGGGAGCAGCTAGGTGGGTGGGCACAAGCACGGGGGCCCAGCACTGGGACCAGGAGCTGCAGTGGAGCCCCCAGCCCCATCTCTGGTAGCAGAGGCCCTGCAACTCCAGGGCGAGCACCTGCACAGGAGACAGACCAGCACCCCAAAGATGCCAGAGGGGTGGATGTCTGACGTGGAAACACTGTCCTCCACAGTGCAATGCCAAGGAGCAGTAAGGGGCTGCTGGTGGGGTGGCCTCCAGGGCAGCTGGTGTGGCCTTGCCCACCTTCACCAAAGCCACCTATGCCCTGGGGATGGGAACACTGTCAGCCACAGGCCAGCCCTGCCCAGGAGAGCTTCCTACCTCTGTGGCCTCCAGCAGCTTGTGGGTACTCCAGCACCTCATGGGCATGCAGCTCATGGCAGGAGCTGTCCTGTCCCCATGTCTGCTGGCTCCATGCTCACCACCCTCATGCCCCACTGCCCCAGCCCTATGTCTGCTGTCCCCACACGTCATCACCCTTATGGCCCACTTCCCTGTCCCCAAGGCTGCTGTCCCCACACCCTGTCACCCTCATGCCCTGTCCACCACTACCCTCAAGCTCTGTCCTTGTGCCCCACTGCCCCTGTGCCCACATCCTTGTGCTCAGTTCTCCCCGTGCTCCTCCTTCCCCTCACCACAGCCTGGAGCACCATGCCTCTCCTCGCAGGGGAAGGTGTCAGGGCAAGGCCCAGGCACAGCAGGGATGGAGAGGACCTGGCACAAGGCAGCTTCACGGTCTAGAGAATGGCAGGGGCCAGACCAGCGGGACAGGCAGTGTTTAGGTTAAATAAAGGCTGGGGCGGTCCCCACCACGCACTGCCCGGGGCTGTGGCCATCACTGGGGCCGGGGAGAGCCTGGCCGGGGTGGGGCGGGCGGCAGCCCAGGAGGGGAAGGAGGGCAAGGGG